GAGATGGTGTTCACGGTCTTATGCCGCGGAATCCCTGACTAGCAATGGATTCCCACCGAATGTGAGTCATAGTTACTTCCACTAATTTAATAAATGCAAAAAAGTACAAAATTTAATAACAATCGCGAATTCATTCGCAACACTAATTTCATTAATTATATATATGTACAAAAGCGTACGCGTGAAGGCTGCTTCATTATGCGCAACGCTAAGCTGAAAAAAAGAAAAAAAGAGAAAACGCGAACTGTAACGCAACACCACTCAAATCTACCGAATTTTGTAAGACGCAACACTAATCTAAAAAAGGGGTACAGCCAATCCAAGGCTGTACCACGGCAGCTGGTCCATAGCTGCCTTATGGACCATGGCAACTCCACTGGATTGTTTTTGGGCATTTCTAATGCAAAACGCGAATATTCATTACCGCAACACTAATTAGCAGGGAACTCTATAAACTAATGCAAAGCAATCGCGTATTTATAAGTTGCAACACTGGGAAACAATCGCGCTAATGTCATTCGCAACACTATTTTTAACAGACATGCAATTAAAATGCAGAAAAGGGGGATTCTCAAACCGTGAATTTTTTACTCGCAACACTAATTTCATTAATTATATAATATGTACAAAAGCGTACGCGTGAAGGCTGCTCCATTATACGCAACGCTAAGCTGAAAAAAAGAAAAAAAGAGAAAACGCGAACTGTAACGCAACACTACTCAAATCTACCGAATTTTGTAAGACGCAACACTAATCTAAAAAAGGGGTACAGCCAATCCAAGGCTGTATCACGGCAGCTGGTCCATAGCTGTCTTATGGACCATGGCAACTCCACTGGATCGTTTTTGGGCATTTCATCGTATATCGCAACTCTAATGCAAACCGCGAATATTCATTATCGCAACACTAATTAACAGGGAACTCTATAAACTAATGCAAAGCAATCACGTATTTATAAGTCACAACACTGGGAAACAATCGCGCTAATATCATTCGCAACACTATCTTTAATAGACATGCAATTAAAATGCAAAAACGGGGGATTCTCAAACCGTGAATCTTTTACTCGCAACACTAAAGCAGTCAACATTAAAAAGCAAAACTCTCAAAAATCTTAAAGCAATCAACATTGAAAAGTTAAATTCTATTTTAAAACAATGCAAGAAAGAAACGCGATATTTAAAGTTCGCAACACTAAATGAAAATCGCGATAATCATGCATGCGCAACATTAAATTGAACCGTGATCGATATTCATTCGCAACACTAAATTGAACCGTGGTCAATATTCGCAACACTAAATTGAAAACGCGATTTGCCCAAAATCATGGGGGTCACGGGCCCCCTCTTCTTCTGAAATTACAAAACTACAACTACAGGCAAGCACAGTGACAAAGTAGTAACGATAATGATTTCCCATCCTTTTTTGCAAAAGGATGCAAAATCATTAATAGTTCCCCTCTTGAAAGACAGTTTGTCGGGGCGCTTCGGCATGTAGCCTTTTCTTTCTTCGGGCGGTCCACCCACCTGAAACTTATATCTAAAGCTCGAGACTTGCAAATTCGCAAAACAGAAAAAAAACAATCAACAAAAAAGAAAAATCGCGAAACTCTAATTGACACGTGGACGAAAAAGGACTTTATACATATAAGTCGTTGTTCGTGCACACGTGCCGTGCTCGAGCAGAACTTGTGCGTTTCGTGCCATCGCGATCGCGTATGACGACGCCAAGAAAGTCGCCAAAAATTTGAAAAATTGTACAGATAGAATCGAAGGCGAACGGCATACTCCGTTCGTATCGATAGTATCGTCAATTCTTCAAATATATTCCAGGTACAGGTTGATCACGCGAAATCGCGCCTACCCGACCAAGAGACTGTGATAACCTGTCCCGGCCCTACCTTCTTACAATCTATCACACACACCAGAAGGTATACTACCTACCTACCTAACGCTATATTTAAAAAAGGCAAAATCACATTCTCACAAAAATTCATTCCACGACCCCCATACACTCCACCCGGGCGCAAGAGCCTAAACTAGGGAGAACGTCCCGGGACGCCTCCGTCACCCGAGTTTCATCTCACATCACACTCTACGGTACGTACCATTTTTCACTGAAATCGTCTGGCAAGGCTAGCAATCATTGCGTATAATGATAATTACAAAATTTAATTAACTACTTTGATATAGAATATTTCATAATAATGGTAATAATCTTGGTAATAGTAATGGTAATAATACTATTTGGTTTGTACGTTCATTGTACATCTTGTTGAATAAAATATTATTTCAAATTAAAAGTTAAATAAAAAAGTTATTAAACCGACGCAATCCCACAGCCTAAAAACACACACACCATATGTGGAAATTACGTCGTGCACGATATACTAACACAATGCCAGCCGCTTATTAATTATTATTCTTATGAACTAGGTCATCGTGCCCATTGCCTCTACCCATCCAAGTAGCACCTGGGCACGTGAATGGGCTTTGGCAATAAACACGGAAGGGATTAAACCTGAAAATCCTGATCTACAAACATGATTAATACATAAACATCTAACGGGCTAATATTTCACTATTTTAATAAAAGTGACTCGACTTTGTAAATATAAAGCTTTAAGAACAAATACTGAAAAGTAAAATAGAGCAACTATGACGCAAACATGGTGCACTGCTAATATCAGCTGGCAACGAAGGGTCTCACGCCCCCTAGACTTACGCCAGACGCTACATACCACCCACCCCGCCTGGACGTCGTAACGCCAGGACAGAGTGCACCCCTTCGCTAAGAGCGCTACCCGCCCGTCCAACACGTTGCATCCAACGGTGTCAGATTTGCGGACGCCCATAGTATAGACAAAAGGACTACAGTTTAGAATATGGTAACATATTATCATATGTTCCGTATTCTAAAACTGCGCCTGCAAAGGCCTAGTAATGCGTGGGTATATCTCCCAGAGATGGTGTTCACGGTCTTATGCCGCGGAATCCTTGTAACTAATTTGATTAATTAAATAATACATGGGATTGAAATTAAAAACCAAAAGGATTCCCACCGAATACTAGTCAGTGCATCGTCATATTTACTCTTGCGCTGGAAATTTTTCGCAACACTAATTTAAGAAATGCAAAATTCTAATAAAAATGAATTTAATGTCTCTAATTATGAATTCTTCTGCAATGAAACAAGAATTTATTGTGAAAATTAATCAAACATCCTCGGGCGACTCCCTCCTCAGAGTAAATTTTCAAGAAAACGCAAAATGTGTTGAAATAGATCACTCTGATTTGAAAATCTACCCGTCACGAATTGTCTTCTTGCACATAAATTGTTCATTTTTTCATGAACGTGTAAATAAGTTAAACTTCGCTATTGAATGAATGAAATTTTAAAAAATTCTCAAATCATATTTGAATTTATAATGTACAAAATGTAATTAAATCAATGTAATAGCATCATTAATATGTATATCCAGTATACATATTACATAATACTATCAATATTATATTGCTTTGAACCATCGCAATAATTAAGTCAGATGGTATTTGATTTCTCTATTACAGACAAACTAAATAAAATTGTTTCGGTATTAAAATATTCTAATTCCACAGTTAAGAACATTTAAGAGCATTCATATATTTCATAAATATCTATTGGAATATGTGGAATTGAAATGATATTAAAACACGGAGTACAAGAAGACCTAGCCTAAACTAAATGAAATGAAACAATAAAAATGTTACTACTCATGGGTATAATCATACCCATGGTCACTATGCTTGCCAAGCACGTATACAACTAGTAACCCGTGTCGATTCGGACCATTCGTCCTACGACATGATTGGGCACCAGAGGAACCATAAAACATGCGACTCACCGTTCGCAGATATACTCTTCTTCCGACAGTCAAGTAGGAAGATGGACAACACCAGGTAGGAGGCTGCCTTGTAGGAGAAAACGGAAGTCGTGAAGAAAGCCATTATCAGGATATCCAGGAACTCGGCAAAATCAAAAAATGCATCTGTAACAAAACAAAAAAGAATTACGGTTAATTTTGCAAATTATCAATTTTTATTCTAATAAAATTATATATGAATTTGGATTTTATAAAATATTAGCAATAGCAATTAAACAGAACTCTCGAGTATCAAGTATTGGAATTGTAGATTATTCTATTTGAATTAAAATTAATTAAATAAAGTAATAAGATACTTACACTCTTTCCTTGTGGAGCATCGCCCAAGACTCCTCTTCAGTGGTGCCGTGACTCTAATACCGGATATATCGAACAATTAAAAAAAAAAAATTAAAAATAAAAATAAAGATATAAAATACTAGTAACGCGACCGTGAATGATTTTCGGCGAACAATTGCAGTGACTCTACTTTCGCGATGAAAAAAGAACAATCAGAGCCGCGATGCTCTAGAAAATATTTTATAATACGCAGCAAACACTGACTCTACTATCCCGTGATTCCTAATTGTACAAACGCAACACTATTCAGGGCCAGTTCACCCTTGAGAAAATCAAAACATTAAACATATGTACGTGCAAACACTGGCTCTACCGACCGCCTTGCGCGCGGCCACAACAATTCCTGAAAGAAAAGATTATTGAGGAGGTTGGGGATGGGTGGAAATATACAAAACAAACATTCTTCTTATTGAACGTTGGGTTAAGGAAATACTGTTATTATTTGTAAATGGAAATATTCCTGTTCATGAAATATTCTCAATGAACACGAATATTATTCAAATTGAATATTGATCCTAGATTATATCGCAATAATGAAATGTTTTAAATACTTGTTGATAATTATTTCAATGAATATTACAAGAATAGAAAATCATTGTTAAATAAATATAATATACCATTTTATTAAAGTAGAGGATTTCTGTTGTTAAAATTGTAAGCATGCTAAAACTTGTTGAAAATTCTATTACGTCTGAATTTATAAATTGTCTACATTCTTTTCAATAAACAAAGTCCAATAATTAATCATGCTTAAACAGCATGTGATTTAAAAACGTGATTCTATTTTTTATTTACAGTTGCACCGAAAGCTGGATATTATAATACAATTACGACAACTTAACAAAAATATGAATCGATTAAAGAAAAAAAATGTCTCTAATCTTCTCTTTCTTCACCTTGGTACTAGTTAATTATCAAAAATGCTTACAGTTAACAACGACTCAATAAAAAACAGTAATGCTAAATGTTAATAATTGATTACAATAAATTAAAATAATAAATTTTTACGAAATTCTATTTCAAACCCATATCAGCTGTCATGGCGTCCTTTATCTGTAACAAAAAAGAAATAGGAATTTATGTAAATAAAATTTAATCAACAGTAATAAAGTTATTATTAATAAATAATCGAACTATAATTTATGCAAAATAATTTAATAGGTACAATACGTACCTACTACTTATGCGTAAAGATGCTCTCAACACGTCTTACCACTTCGAGGTTCGCGAGAGAAATGGCGAGACCTTCCTTCCCGACGAAGACCGGTTGGCACCGCTTCGGCATTCTTCGGTATATTCCGTTGTCGGCCGATAGCCGATACCTAAGCAACGAACAGGTCTAAACAGGAATAATATTATGATGCTCAAGAAAGAACGTTATTAAATTAAAAACAGCAAATTGTGTAAAACAGTATTAAAAATATTCAATAATGTTTAGGAATTTAACGATATAATAGAGAACATAATTCAGATTCTGCTGTTCCACTCTCATTGTTCATTAGCGGCAAGAACAAAAATTTTCAGTTCACGTATTTTTGAAGAAAACATCGAATTAATGTGAAAGATTAAGAATCTAGACCTCTGTTTGATGTTTCTTTCTGTTTTTTGTACTTCTATCACCCGAGAGGCAATTTAATTTAATATTTGAAGATAATTTAACCTTACCTGTTGCAGACTCGTGCCAAACGGACAAAGCTTCGAAGAGGACTAGTGCACTACCCCACACTCCGCGGCCCGTAGCCTTCAACGACGAATCTGATTGGTCGAAATGGAAAGACGCCATAACGGACGACCAATCACAGTCATTGACAGAAGTTTCAAGTTACTTCGCAACTTTAATACTGAAATAAGGGAAAGGTTCCTTGAAAATTATCAACGCCATATTGAAATAAAATAAACATTACTTTTTTCAACTTAAAGCATCGAAATATAGGAAAGAAGATATAAAAGTACATAGCAGAATAAATGTGAAATATGTTATTTTAATTCGTATCTATTTCAATTTTTTTGGATGTGCATCCATTACGAGCATTATTTAGAATCTATATATACAGATCTTCTGTTAACAGCTTATATCTAATTTACGTTTACATAACTATTTATTAACTTATGGATTACTAGACATTGAGATCAATATTGCATACATTCTATATATATAAATAAACATATAAGCGAAACTTATTACTACAAAATATTTTTCTATCTAATTTTCTCCTTACTATTCTAGACATATCCTTCTAATTTTTACAACATTGTATCGAAATTTCAATATTCATATATTAAGTATCGATACTGTAATATATCGTCATGTTAAATATCGATACAAAATATCGATATTTGAACTGGAAAATATCGATATTCCAAATATCGATACTGTATCGCCCATTACTAATCTGTAGCCACCGACTGTAATAAATAAAAATTACCAAGAATTCATATGTACACTTGCTACATTCTTTTAATTATACACGCCAAACAAACGATTGTATATATAAAATAATACCTTTATTTATAAAATGGTAAAACCTACAAGTAAAATAGTTGATATTTCATGGAGGTTCGGTGGTAAGCATCTAACCCTAAAATATGAAACAGTTATCGAACACTTCAGTATATTTTAAGTATTTAACATAACGCTGTAATTACAATTTTTTTTTAAATTATTACAAAAGAAGTAACATTATACTGTTCTAACTTAATGTAGATTAAAATGAAAAATATCATTATTCAAAGTTAACAAAAATTGATGGAACAACATATTTTAAATCTTAGTTTAATTGTTACAGTAACAGCAGCAAGTAATGAATCTGACAATGTGGGAAAATCATTTTTTCAACTAAAATTATGGCTAGAAGAAGATAGTAAAATTAACAATGTCTTTCTAGAAATGACTATAAGTGAATTTTATAAGTTTTTACATGACTTAGAAAAGGCAAATTGTAATCTCGATTTATTACTTTAAGTAAACATTCCAAATTTCAGGGATTTACTTTGTAAATCCATGTGTATAACTTACAATCTATGTATATAAAAATAAAACTTCAATTGTACAATTATATCTTTGTATTAAATACACTGTATTATAAATAGCAAGTACTAATCTACTGGACTACATTATACGAACTTAAGAATTTTAAAGTGTAAAAATGATGTTTTAAGTATTGAATTATATTTTACTTTATGATGTTAAATATACTCTTTTATGTAAATTACAATTTCGATTGATACAATACAATAAATATCATACCTTTAGAGATTAATGCCTCCACTAATTTACAAATATACATTTGATTGGCTTTTTAACACCTGTTGGTAATCAAGAATCTATTTATGTTATAATCCAACTGTATATTAAAAATATTACTTCTTGTCAAGTGATAAAATTCCATTTGGGAATTCATGTAGAGACTATTTCGAAGAATTTCTCATCTGAAAATAAATACAAATATTCGTAAATAATACGTAAGATCTATCACTGAAGCACTTATAATATTTCTATAGAATTCAATTAAAAGCTTTATAATTAGATACTTAAAAAAGATCGTAATAACATTGCAATCATAAATAGAAAAGTAGGGAACTTTATTTATTAATCAACATGAGTATACAATTTTTAATCTTTTTGGTTTATCTCCTAACCTTTTCAATCACAACGAGGTATCAACTAACATACATATGTAATGAGTGCAATATTTAAGCATGTCTTGTTTTTTTCTTTTTTTGAAATTCTTAGCATATCTCACTAATTACATATGTAAAGCATTATCAAATATCACAACCACTTATGCAATCATTATAAAAAGGAATTTACACAATAATTATAGTCATTTAATCATACATTCTATTTACATAATTTACTAATTTTGTTGATTTCTAGTAAATAAACAAATTTTAAATAAAAACAATTTTAGAGGATACCGGCAATAAGAAGCTCGTCACGATTAATACTGGACGTAAAATACTATCTGATAAAGTGTCAACTAGATCTGGTAGAAAGTATTAAAAAAATATTCAGATCATTTCGAAATTCTAAAACCAAAAGAGAAAATATAAAATGCTTTCAGAATTCTCGCATTTGAACATATAAGTTAGAACATACGCTTGCTTGAAATAAATTAGTCATGTGAAAAACAGGATGTGTTATAGGTCTAATTATTTTACGTTTCGGAGGAACTTGGCTGACTACAGCTCCTCTTTGATTATAAGGTTCTGCTAATGCTAATACAGGATTTTTTAAATCTGTTGACGAACTTTCTTGTAGCTTCTGTGTGGAGAGCTGTTGTAAGGACTTGCCTCTTTCTGCTTTTCGTTGAATCGATTCTAACACCGGTAAAATTGCTCCAAGTAAGGGTCGTTTAGATGGTTCTCCAGACCAACACTGTTCCATTAATTTCCAGCACTCATCATCGAATACGGATAGACGTTCGGGTCGTATGCCTAATCACACAAATAACAATTAAAGATTATGCAAAATCAAATAAATATCGATCAAAATTACCTTTCTTTACACTAGTCCACAATTGTTCCTTGTTATGAAATTGCTCAAAGGCGTATGGTAATCTCACATGTCCAGCACATATGTACCAAAATAATATTCCAAATGCATACACATCAACACTACTATCATAATGGCCAGATAGGAGTTCTGGTGCCATATGAACTGGTGTTCCAACAATACTTCCCGACATCATTGCTTCTGTGATACAAAATCCAAGATCAGTTAACTTAGCCCTGTTTTCTGTATCAAGAAGAACGTTCTTCAATTTAATATCTCGATGAACGAGTCCTTGCGAATGAAGGTAACGGATTCCTTCTAAGACATCTATCGCAATTTGTATACGTTCCAGCCACGATAAACCAGCGCGAATTCCGCAATATAAATCACGACTTAAGCGGTCGGATATTAACAAAACTGCAGATCCAAAACCAAATCCTCCACCATAGGACTGATCGATAACCGATCCTCGAAGTTTTACTATTCTTTTATGATCGGGAATAGATCTAGTGTAATAAAATTCCATAGCAAGATCGTTCCAATGTCTTTCATCCGGTGGAACAACTGACTTAACTGCACATGGACCTGGTGCACCAGGCCAACCATCACAAGCAAATACAACTCCATACTGACCGCGACCAATTTCTTTACCACAATGTGGAATACCGTAGCGGACAGCATCGGTCATCGATGTTGATTCCAGTGCTAATTTAGCCAGCCTGGGAGCATGATACTTTCTGATAGCTATTCTTTGCTCTTCTGTTCTTTCTAATTTTCCGGAATAATAATTTTCTAAAGATCTAAGAGATGCTTGAAACGTATCGTGTGATGCTTTCAGTTTATCCCTGAATTGCATCGATATTGTTCTTGCCAGTCTTGCTGCTGACAAAGAATTTAATATTTCAATAGTAACCTTCTTCCTCCAAGTTACATCTAAGGTTGGCGTTGGTGACCATGGTAAAGGTAAAGACTTGAAAAGTTGTCTTAGTCTTTCCAGGAAAGAATGTATCAAAGATGGTGAAGAATTATGTAAATCGACGTTATACGCAGCTGAAAGTATTTGTTTTAAAGCGTCACTAGCTAATAAACAAGTATCTCGTTCGTAAGATTTTTCGAGGCTTAATAGACAACGCTGTAGCGTGCCGACGAACGTATCCCGCAAACAATTTACAGAATTTACAAGTTGTTTTGCAACTTTTTCACCTAAACGACCAAGTACCAACCGTTGAACTTCACAAGTTGCAGCTCTAACAGTTGCGGACCATTCTGTCCTTTCGGTATTATTAAAAGGAATACTTTGATATGAATATATATCATTGTTAGACAGTGATACATCGTTTTTCATCTCTTGGATGATATTTTGTATTAATTCAGTTAATTCCTCTTGCTTTTCATTAACAACTTTCATCAAACTAGCGTATAACTCATTTTCTTTTTGCTGAGCATACTGTATCCTTTTCGGAGTTATTTGAATTTTACGTGCCATATCAAATGCACTTAATATAAATTTTCGTAGACTAGTTGTATGTACGTCATTTAAATACGTGCTAGCATTAATAAGATAAGATTGTAAACATCCGCGAATGAAATACAAAATTCGATCTGTCTTTTTACACGAATCCAATAAATCGCTAGAAGTTACGTATTGTCCCCCACCTAACCAAGACATTTGATCAACCTCAACAGACTCTTCCATGCCAAGGAAACCTAAATTTGTCAACTGATCTAACCATGTTAAACCAAGTGAATTCATTCTATCAAAATCAATGCCATCATCATCACCATCATTTTTATTCGATTTAGCGTCATTGGAATTTAATCGATTTTGAAGTCTATGCTGTTCAGATTCAGTCAATTCAGCATCAATACTACCCAATGAAATATTTCCCAGTGATGATACAAAAAGTACAGGATTAAATGGATATGTTTCTTTTAGATCTCTTAATTCTTCTAAATTTGATTCTGTCAATGGTTGCTCACCAAGAGCATATAGAAATATTGGTAAAACATGTAACTGGCCTTTAGCAAGAACTTTTATTGCTCCATTATTTGGAGCAATAAATATTTGAACACCATCCTTTAATATAGGTTGATCAAGTTTGACCTCAAGTACTGTTGGACAACTTGTGTCTTCATTACCAGATTTTGTTAAATCCTCAATTGGTAGGGTACTCCATTGTTTATCACTGGTTTGTATACTTTCCACTACTTCATACTCAAGGCCTAATGTAAGACTGATATAATTTGTTGGACCATAACTAAGTCTGATCCATCGCCACATGCCATTACATACTGGTAAAATATCACTGGAAGTTAAGCTATTAGTTAGTGCAGCCTTTGCTTTGCTATCTTGTCCTAAAATTACAACTGCTGGATAATTTCTTAAAATATGTGAAATTCTATTTAATGTTAATGGAGGCAATAAATCTTGAACAACATTTTCTGCAACAAAAAAAAGATTTTTATATACATTTTTTATACACAAAACAAAATTTAACACTCATTTTTATATATTTACCTCCAGGAAAGAAGTTTTCAAGGTTAATAACTTCCAATGCTCGTTGGGTTTCATCAAGAATATACTGCAACTGATTCCTATTACGCTGATATCTCCTGAATTCCTGTGGTAGTTTGCTTAACATCTTTTTCTCCTTTATTTAAAAATTCTCAGTACTCCAAAATTGCTCATACTCCAATAATATTTTATTATTTATTAAAGCATGCCTTCAAGGTACAATATAACAGCTTTGTTACTAACCATTCAATCAGTTGAATGTAAAGGATTTTAATTAAAGTATTTCTGAAGTAATATTCTCTTTTTGAACATAATAATACCATCAACTATTTTTCTCTTCATCCAATTAATCAATTGTTGATCTTGCAGCTATGAAAATGTACCATAAATGCTGAACAAATATATGTGTCAACCAGTTTTCACTATGAGACTCTCATGGTGCAATAAATGTTAATCAAGAATTTTGACAGTTAGTCTATACAGCGATATCACTGTTTCAAAAAATTGTTTACTCAAAAATCAGGAACCCTACCTAATACGCTACGAACCATCAACACTGGACATATGAAACTTAAGCGCGGTTAGTTTGACTCAAACATAAGACGTTCATTGCAACCGGGATCTACATACTGTTATTGGCTATATCTAAAAACAAAACGTTGAATTGTATGATAAATCGTACGCACCATTTAGTTGAGATGATACGCTACTTTAACACATGCTTACATATGTATCTTTGCTCTATGCGATTAAAGAAACACAGACCACTGCACATACGAAGAATGTAGAATAAACAAGATTCCCCCTGTGTAAGGAGATAAAATTCTCAGAAATATGTGAACAATTGCAAGACATTTACGGCTACAGTGAAACTCATCTACATTAATATTTGTTGCGGAAAATAAATATTTAAAAGCAACTTATAAAAAACGAGTATTCCCCCCAAAAGAGAATATTATTCGGAAAAATGAAACTGTTATCGAGGCATTATCTGTCAAGTTTTTTTATTTTGCGCATACGTACATAGTAATAACAATATTAAATGAAAGTATTTTTATATGTATTAATATTCAGTGTTTATTTGTGACAATGTATT